TCTCTCTCTCTCTCTCTCTCTCTCTCTCTCTCTCTCTCTCTCTCTCTGTGTATGTAGTTCGGAAAACAACTTGTGAGAGTCAGTCTTTTCTTTCCACTGTGTGGATCTTTAGGCTTAGAGTTCAGGCTTCACTGTGAGCTTCTAAGGTTGTATTTATTTTTGTTTTCCTTCTTGTGTTGGAGGTCGACCCTATGAGCTTCCTGCATGCTAGGCAACTGTTTTACCACTGAGCTACGCCCCAACAGCCCAAGAACCTGTCCTGTCCCGCTGTCTTTTTAAAAAGTAGAGTCTCTTGTAGCCCAGGCTGACCTTGAACTTGCTATGAACTTCAGATCCTCCCGCCTGCCTCCACTCTCAAATGCTCACTGGCAAGGATACACCCCTAGGCTCAGTTTGTGGGGTCTTGGGAAATTAGGGCTTTGTGCATTCCAGCTGAGCTGCCCTATAGCCCCAAACCTTGTCCCTTGTCGGGGGTCTGGAAATGTAGGACCTGCCCACTTGGATCCTGAGTGGGGAGGAGACAGCATATGAGGTTTCCGAAGGGTCACAGCAGAAGGGATCAAGTGGGCCCAGGGCCCCATGGTGGAGCCACAGCACAGCCATGCTTGCCCTGACCTCCAGGAAGCTTGGCACACCACTGAATTCTCTTCCTCCCAGTTTCCTTTGCTTTAAGGACGTGGTGGCACACAGAACTGCAAATGGGGGGAGGGCATACAGAGAACGGGACGGCAAGAGGTCCAGCCCTGAGTTTTCAGTCATAGAGTGAGCCATTCATTCATGAGCCTGAGATTTCAGACCCACTCTGTCTCCTGATTATGCTTTCTGCCTCTCAATTATCTCCAGCCTGGACAGGGGTGGGGTGGGGTGGGGGTGGAGCTTGGGGAGACTGTCTCTTGTCACTGGGAAGATAACTCCCAGGCTGTAGCTTCAAAAATATAAATTACAACGTGCTCTCTGGTACAAATTATTCCCCTGGGAGCTTGTTGAGCGTGTGATCCACTTATCTGCTGGGCTGATCGCTAGTTAAATGCTGCCCAAGTAGCTGAAAGCCCTGTTTTATGACAAACAGGACAAAGGAGTCCAGCTAAGGCTCAGGGGTAGCACTCCCCTCAAGCCAATGTAGAAAGTCTTTGCTGGGGAATGCTAAGCAGGTATAGGCTGGATGTGGACCCTCTCTTATGCCTCTGTACCAAAACAGAAGTGTGTGTGTGTGTGTGTGTGTGTGTGTGTGTGTGTGTATTATGGTCTACCTGTGCAATCCTCCATCTTGAAAGGTGGAGGCAGGAGGATCAGGACTACATGAAGTGTGGCGTGTGGCGGGGGGAGTGTTGGTGGAGAAATGGTTGAGACTGAGGGCGCTTGCTGCTCTTGCTGTTGGCAGAGAAGCTGGTTTGATTCCCAGCACTCCCATGGCAACATGTCAGCCCACGACTTCCTGTGACTTGAGTTCCAGGGGAGCTAAGGCCCTCTCTGACTTCTGCAGGCACCAGGCACTCGTGTGGTGCACATTACAGTACACATGCAGTCAAAACAGTCCTATACAGAAAAAATTGTTTCAGAAAAGAAACCCAAAGAGGAGTACTAAGTGGTATGAGACAGCAGAGGGCCAGGGTCTGACTGCTGACACCAGAGGACTTGGAAACAGGCCGAGAACCTGAGGGGCCACAGCAGGCAGGACGCCACTACTTGCTTCTGCAAAGAAATCGCCCCTGTCCGTTTCTGTTCCCCTTTGCAGCAGATTCCAAGCACTGCAACGTCCCTGACTTCTCGGAACCCTCACAGCACCCCTGAGGTAGGTGGAGAAGTTCTTTATCAAGGCTCTTGCAGCTGAAGGCTGAGGCGCTCATTCACGTGACTGGCTGGGTCACGTGGTTAATAAGAAGTTGGGCTCTCTCCTCGCCAAAAGTGCCAGCTAGGCATTCCTCAGCAGCTCTAGAACCCTCAGGGTGCCCAGAGAAGTGTGGTGAGGGGACCTGCTGTAGTCCCTGCCCACTATGCTCTGAGCCAGAAAATAGTGGCTCTGTAGAAAGTGAGATGGAGGCACATTCCCGGGATTCTGGGGTGGAGCTCATGGGCTAGAGGGCATGCTGAACCTCACAGGCAAGGTGTCTGAGGTGGCGCCAGACATCAACAGAGGCTGTCTTCCCTTTTTTTTTGTTGTTGTTGTTGTTTTGTTTTTCAAGACAGGGTTTCTCTGTAGCTTTGGAGCCTGTCCCGGAACTAGCTCTGTAGACCAGGCTGGTCTCAAACTCAGAAAGATCCACCTGTCTCTGCCTCCCGAGTGCTGGGATTCAAGTGCACCACCACTGCCTGGCTGCATTCTCCATTTTTTTTTAATATTTATTTATTATGCATACAATAGTCTGTCTGTGTGTATACCCGCAGGCCAGAAGAGGGCACCAGACCCCATTATGAGATGGTTGTGAGCCACCATGTGGTTGCTGGGAATTGAACTCAGGACCTTTGGAAGAACAGGCAATGCTCTTAACCTCCGAGCCATCTCTCCAGCCCTGCATTCTCCATTCTTAAAAGCTTTAAAATTAATCAATTAGTTTGTTGCCGGGTAATGTAGTCCAGGACAGTGAGGGCTGTTACACAGAGAAAGCTTGTCTCTCTCGAAAAAACAAAGAAACAAAAATAAAATTAGTCAGTTTGTTGGGTGGTTTTGTTTTGTTTTATAGTCTTGGCTGCTTTGTAACAATCTTGTGTGTGTCTGTGGTGTGTTGTTGTTTGTTACAGACAGGGTCTTGCTACATAGACCAACATGAGAGGCATGCATCACAAGGCCTGGCTGTTGTTCGTTTTGTTTGTTTGTTTGTTTCGAGACAGGGTTTCTCTGTAGCTTTGGAGCCTGTCCTGGAACTAACTAGATTTGTAGACCAGGCTGACCTGGAACTCGTAGAGATCTGCCTGCCTCTGCCTCCCAAATGCTGGGATTAAAGGCGTGCACCACCACCGCCCGGCTGTTGTTCTTTTTTTAAATTTTATTTTTATTTTATTTTCTGTGTGTGAGTGTTTTGCCTGCAGTGTATGCATATGCACCTTATATGTGTCTGTCCAAGGAGACTGGAACCACCTCTCCAGACCTAACCTTGAGTTAATACTCTTGCCTCTGGAGCTTAGAGTACAGGGATGCATCAGCACGCTCCGCAGGGGTGGGATTTAGGACTTGGAGCATTCTAGGCTAGCACTCTACCAACTGAGGTACATCCTTGTCTCCACTACCTGTCTGTCTGTCTCTCCCACCTCCCCTGCCCCATGCCCAGTACTCAGAGCTTTGAGTAGGCTAAGAAGGCAATCTACCATAGACCTCTAACCTAAATTAAGCCCCAGTGTTTAGTTTTTTTCAAAATGCTTCCTTAACTGGTCACCCCAAGGGAACAAGACATTTCCTGTAAGGTACATGGAACCCAGCCAAGGATGGTGGAACACACCTGTTATCCCAACACTCAAGAGCAGAGGCAGAAGCAGGAGGCTGCTTGACTGGAGGCTAACCTGGGCTACATGCTGAGGCCTGAACTTGGCTCCCCCATGACCGCCCTGAGGCAGGAGACTCTGTTTTAGAGACCAGACTTTTGCAGACTTGTGTAGCCCAGAGATAACCTGGAACTCTTGAGGCTCCCTTCTCTGCTCCAAAGGGCGAGAGATTATAGGCACTCCCAACCACGCCCCGGCTTCTGTACTTTCGGTTCTGTGTTACTGGAAATCCTGGCTAGACTTTCCTTTTCTACCTCTGCATGGGGGTGCTGGAAATGCCGGAAGAGCCAGGGAGACTCTAAGCTCAGGACGGAGTCGGAGAACAAACAGTGGAGTGTGGGAGGTTAGGGATGGTTAGGGTTAGGTCAGGGGTTAGAGCCCTTGCGAGTAGCCCAGGAACCCCAGCTCTCAGCCCACTCGGCCTTCTAAGCAAGATGAAGGCCTTGGCTGGAGGTTCAGCGTGCAGCTAGCTCACTCCATCCCAGGCTCCATCCCTAGTCACACCGTGAAAGAGGCTTGGTGGTTGGGGTGTCAGAGCAGAATAAGAGGCAAGTTCTATCCTTCAGCTAAATGCTGACTCCTACGTGCAGGGGAGAGTTCAAAGGTCAAAGGGTGCTGTTCTCCAGAGTTTCCCCGCACTACTCAGTCCCGAAATATCTCTGAACACCTTGACCGAGCCAGGGCACGCCTCAGTTTCCTCATTTATAACAGGAAACAGATTAGATAAAGTCCTCCCGCTGCCCTCCTGATAACTCCAAAGGGATTTGCTTGAGGACACAGAGACACAGGACGTTTTCCTTCCCTGCCTCCCACAAGCAGGGTCACTCCTTGTAGCTCTGGCCTCAGCCTCACAACACTGGGATTGTAGAGTCCTGCTACCATACCCAGCACTTACAGGAAAGTTTATTTTATTCATTTATTTTTTTGGTTTTTCAAAACAGGGCTTCTCTGTGTAGCCCTAGTTGTTCTCAAACCCACTCCGTAGACCAGGCTGGCTTCGAATTCAGAGCTCCGCCTGCCTCTGCCTCCTGAGTGCAGGGATTAAAGGCGTGTGACACCACTGTCCACTTGGAAATTTTGTTAAAACTTTGTTATAGATAAGGCATAGTGGTGCATACCTTCGGTCCTAGCGTTTCAGCGCTCCAGAGGCAGAATCTGTGAGCTCGAGGACAGTCTAGTCTGCAGAGCAAGTGCCAGGCCAGCCAGGGCTACACAGTACAAAGTACACTGTCCTAAAAGAAAACAACAACAACAGAAAGAAATGGTTCAGAAATCTGATCTGGAGCTGGGGACGCCGCTCGGTTGACAGCTCAGTGCGCCTGTAATCACAGCGCAGGACGTAGTCAGCATTTAGGGGAGCATTTGAGTAAATGGATGGGCGGGCGGGCAGACGGACAGACAGACAGATGGACAGACGGACGGACGGATGGATGGATGCAGAGGAGGGCTCCTTCTGGAACCATGTGCAGCGCAGTAAAGGTGACCTTGGCTCCCAAGGAGCTTGCTTGTCTGCCTTGCTGTCTGGGGACCACATCTTCTCCTCTGCATCAGCAGGCAGTTATTTATCTGTCCCCTTGGAAGGTTGAAAGGAAGGAGACTTGGTTTCCTGGCAAAATGTGACCCAGAGGACCATCTTGCTCCCACCTCCCAACCCCCCACCAAAAGAAAGGAGAGAGAGGGGGGCGGAAGGGAGAGCTGCACTGGCTATCAGGGATCCTTCCTGTTTTCCTTTCCTAAGTATCCTGGATGGATAAAACTGAGGGGTCAGAGAGACTGCCTGCCCCTGGGGCTTGGGGACAGGCAGATGGCTTTTAACCCTCTGCTAGCTCCCGCGTGAGTGGCATGACAGCCGCCTTGGATGTCCCTGGTGGGTTTTATGTGCAGCTGGGCATTGAACCCACAGCTTTATGAATGTTTGGCAAGCACTCTATGGACTGAACTACATGCCCTGCCCCAGTTTTTGAGCTTCTCAAGGGCCATTCATTCATTCATTGGACAGCGATGCCTTCTGCCTTGGACCAACTCTATGTGAAGATCTGGGGATACAGAGATGGCCATGATGGGGTCCCCAATATCATTAAGCATACGGACTCCCAAATGCTGACATGTCAAAGCACCACACACTGGGTGCTAACAGCAATCCCATGGGTGTGATTTCTCCACCTCAGACCAGGAACGCCAGGATCATGGTGGTTCAGCGTCCCACAGGCTTGGAAGTGGTGGGTGTAAGGACTGAGGTTAGAGCCCCATAGGCTGGCAACTGGCATCTGAGTGCCCCTTGGACTCCTGACTTCCTGTCTGTGCCATGTGACTCTCCTCTAGTAGTTCCTAGAGAGACAGTTTATCTCTGGGCGTGGCTAGGTGGCCTCTCTGACGGGCAGCTTTTGTTTATGGTACCTGGCCATTCTAGAACAGAGGTGATGGCCCAGCTCAAAGGCCCCAAAGACCAGAACAGGAGGGTTGCAGCTACCAAGGGGCCACCTTTGCCTGTCCTCAATGGACATTTCCAAAATAGACCCAGATCTTCTTTTGTCTTGTTTTGTTTGATTGGGTAGGTATCCGGTAACTCGGTCTGGTCTTAATATCGTGGGAGAGATGACCGTGAACTGGTGGGGTCCTCTTGCCTCCACCTCCGCAGTGCTGGGATCACAGGCACAGGCCACCATCCTGGGTTTTATGGTCTGGGGAGTCAACCAAGGACTTCCTGAATGCTAATCAAGCATTCTACAACCGGAGTCCCTTCAGCAGCCCGGATTTTGTTTTGTGTTGCATTTTTTCCCCAAAGCCTCCAGCAGAGGCTCTGACTGGTTGGAAAACACATCTCTAATCACACAGCTAGACTCTGGCAGGGTTTCACGCTAGGTTTGATTAACTCCTAAAAGTGTGCATTTTTATTGTACCACTGCCTCTGATGCCAAAGTTGGCAAAGGGAAGAGGAATTCTCTTGCTGTCCAGGTCGAGGACAAACTAAGTGTCAGCTAAGGGCACCCATCGAATAACCTTGAAACCCATTGATCGGAGGAGACAGCTGGCATGAGGAAGCTTTTTTTTTTTTAGATTTATTTTTATCTTATGCTTATGAATGTTTTGCTTTCATGTATGTGCACTATTTATGTGCCCACTTTCCTCAGAGATCAGAAGAAGGTGTTAGAGCCTCAGGAACTCTGTAACAGACAGTTGTGAGTCGCCATGTGGGTGCTGGGAACTGAACCTAAGTCGTCTGCAAAAGCAGCAAGTGCTTGTAATTGTTGAGCCAGGCATGAAGGGATCTTAGGTGATTCTGCAATTCTGTCTCTTTAAGACCCAGGGCTCTTA